AAACGGTTTCATTAGTGAAATTTTCTTCTATTTCTTCCATGCATTCAATGAGTGAGTCTCTGTTCTCAAACACTACATTTATTGTTCGAACATTAAAATTCCACCGAGTTGTTGCTCCTTGGGGAATTTTTTCCCCACAATTCTGTTCAGTACCTCTACGCGTTGAGGAGAATTATTATAAAATCCCGGAATATCTTTCAAATCCCAAAGAACACCCGAACTTGAGTATTTACGGAAGCAGCATGGGACATAATCAGGTTTAACTGATGCGCATAGCAATGCACATAGTGAGCAAATGGATATGTTTGTTTAATTTTTGCCTGTACTCCAGCATAATGCCTGCTCATTACCGCGGCTCCATCATAGCTTTGTGAAATTAGTTTGTTAGGGAAATTTCCTATTAATGGATCTACGACGCTCTTGTGAGAGTATCAGCGTCACATTTTTCGGGATTCATATAATTCCAAAAACGTTCTACTGGTTCGCCGTTAAATACATATCTGAAAATTGTTACCAGTTGGGTTTTCCCCGGAATGTCCGTTGTTTCATCTGCTATTATCGCCAAATACGAGGCTGTGTTAATCTGTTTTATTATTTCTTCATGACAAACTTCAATAATACAATCCAGTAGATCGTTTTGTATTTCTTTCGAAGTTCCTTTAAATATTGAAGCATTTTTTGTGTTCGCTTAAGGTTCTATTGAGCTCAGCAGAAAAATTAAATCACGCATTTGATTTTGTAGAGAGAGACAAAAGCAAGCGCGTGCGGCTTGTGTCGAAGTAGTGCACAGACCCTTTTCAAGTGGCCCATGAATAATGTTACGCTGCGGTCGCGACGAAAATGACAAGTACACAACTGGTCGATTATAATGCTTTCTCAGTGCAAAACAGACTCGACGCCGTGTCTTGCGGGGGCAGCGTTGCCGGTATTGTTTCTATTTGCGTGATAATATGGAAAATGAATAATCATCAAATTACTACTGCTTTTTTCTGTTAGGACAAAAATTTTGGCAGTTCTGCAGAACTTAACAGCCAGCCGCCCCTGCTTCCTTTCCAATGTCCGGAGAAAATTATACCAATTAACAACAGTCCACCGAGCGAGGGATTGCCTTGTGCACCAACTTCAGCATCCAAACATACCTGGAAATCCATCATTTTTAATCTCAACACATACAGTTCACGTCGTACCTCTACGCATAACTATTGCTTTTCATGTTTAGATTCAGCATTCAAAAGCATAATAACTTCACACAATGACGGAATATTTGGTCTTTCAAACAACTGTAGTCGAATATTTGCATAAAACAGATAACAGGGAATATATTATAATCTCATTATAACCATATACATAGGAATGTGTTGCGTTTACACTGTACAATAACAATGGATTAAGGGTGTTCAACTGTACGGGGTGAATCATTTCCATAAGGGCCAAAGAATAATTGACAGCATTGTGTAAATTAGGCATTCAAGTTGATGAACTTATTCGCTAGAAATATATTGACTTAACATGGAAAGCAGCCCTTTTGCTGAAATTACAAGTAATAACCCTCAGGCTCATGCGCATCACCTCACACTTGTCAAAGATTTTAGAAAATATTGTTTAAGAGCAAATGCCAACTCACATCAACAAATATAGCCTTTTCCAAACCCAGTCGGGATTTCTTGAAAATCATAGTACAGTGAGAGCTTTAGTTGATATTTGTGATAACCACAAACTGTTATTAGCTAAGTTGCATATTCGACCTATTGTCAAAGGGTTGCCGCAAGGTTCCATTCTTGGGCCAATTTTATTCACCTTCTACGCGTCAGGACTTGGTCGGTCAGTATTCTTCACTGCATTCTTATGCCGAAGATACTCAACTTTATTTGCCATTTGCCGAATATAAAACTGGGGGCTGCTATTTTATCCATAGTGTTTTGTTGACTAAATATCCCATATCAATAAGAAACCAGCACAGTACAGCATATCTCCGGTTCTTTGATTACACCCCTGATACGCCTTGCCACAGAACTGCTCCATTAACTAAGAGCACCTCATCTATATAACAAGCTCCTTTCTAGTTTTAAAGTATTCTCGATGTCTTTAACTACAAGGTCGATAAATTTGTCTTTGATCATACGTCTTAACTCCTTCTTTACACTAGTTTTAACCCAGTGTAGTCATCGATCAGTCGGGTAGCCCTCCTCTGAAGAACATCGAGCATGAAAAATGTAGTCACCCAAAACATGTGAGCAGTACTCGGGGCTTATCTGGGTCTTGCATAAAGTGAGAAGGATTGGAAGCATTGAACAGCTAGTCTTCTTTTCTGTAGTTAATCGGCTTGTCACTCTGAATTGCTGCATGTAGAGTGCTGTCATTAGCAAAGCTGTAAATCGGATTGATTTTACAGGAAAGGAGGTCGTTGATAATTTAGATGAACAATGTCGAAAGCAAGACCGATTCGCGTATCAAAAATTGGCTGGAAAGGCTTGAATGGTCTATTCCAAGTTATTTGGCCTATTGAAATTCACCCCTTTTGAAAATATTCTCGTTTTTCTATAGCCATAGATGTTGTCGATTTTCTTTCACCACAAATTTGCCAAGTGTCCACCCTCTACACAAAATATCAGTAGACAATAATACCTATTAGAAGCCTTTCATGAATTTATACATTTCCTTTGCTTTTCGCTTTTTCTTCGCTTTAATCCCAGACGGAAGAAAGGTTTCTTACCACTATACGATTTCACGTATTGTATTCCCTTTTTATGTCAATCAAGTCATTTACCTATAGCCAAGACATTCTATCTCGTTTGAATTCGTCATCGACTACGTAACTGTAAGAAATTGTAAATTCTATGTACTATGTTGTCTTGACATGTAGGATTCACGTCGAATAAGATTCTCGAGACGGGAGCAGCGGGAGTGGTGGCTGCTTAATTAAATTTCATTAAGCATATTCGTAATGAGCAAAATTATTTCATTTCACGTTGGTATCCTTGTGATTGACTGTGAGTGTTATCGTACGATTTTCAAGAAGTGCAAAAATGTATATATATAGTACATTCCAAAGCCTCAAGACCCAAAGTTACGTACTGAGTTCTGTATTCCGAACGTGATACGCACTATTTGATTTAAGATTGGCCAAAACAATCAGAATTTGTATATGTAAAGTCAAATGTAAAATACTTGTCGTTAATGGACACCAAAGACGTCATTTGACCTTCCCTGTAAACAAGACATCCAAAATTAAATGAAACAATGCTTAAAGAAGTAAATTTCCCACTTTTCCCTTCAAATTTTGAAACTAGAGTGATGAAAAAAGGGAGCAGTTTCACTATAATGTGAAAAAGGCTGGAAGAACGATTTCAAGGTCGTTGAGACGCAGCTGTGTTAGGAGATTATTGCTGATGTTTAGAGCGAGAAGATACTGCCCAGCATACATACTTTTTGATTCATATCACTTACCGTCAGTTACAGTACCAAATAAACAGTACGTGATAGAAGAAAGTTCATACATATATCTTCTTATTGAGCAAGTCAATGTATTTGACTGCGATGTTTTCGCCTTGTCTATTTTGATATTTTTGTTTAGTTTTTTATTTTATTCATATATTTCTCCACGGATACGAGATCCATTACAGAGAAAGAAACACTATACAAGTGTTGAAAAATAAATAGACACACACACACACACACACACACACACACACACACACATACACACACACACACACACACACACACACACACACACACACACATATATATATATATATATATATATATATATATATATAGGTGAAAAATTAAAGCTTCCGCCTTTTGTTGGGTACTTCGACAAAATTTAAGCAAAGAGGACTCTTTATATTTTCTTAATTCTCTCTAGCTTTCAATGGACTTTGCCATCATCATCAGGAGCTGGAATTACAATGATAACAGTAGCAACAAAAGTGTAAAATGAATTTAAATTGACTCAACTTACAGTAGTATGTGAGGATGTTGCTAATTGTTGTTTACGTATAGGATGAGGGAAACGTCCAGTAACATGATGAGAGCTGGATACATGGTACAATGGTTAAAATTATATAAAATATGACAAGACAAGATAAAGACAGATTAAAAATTATTTAGAAAACATTAGAGCATTACGTCGTGAAGCCACTTGATGATTGTTCAAAATGGTGGTCATGGAATAATGAGTGAGATGAACCTTTGACAGAAGGCCGAAGGTTGTCAATGTCTGTGTTGAAAGATGGAACGAATTGTGGGCGTGTGCCAAAACGTTGCCAAATCACTTCAGATGATGTGATTTTCAGAATGTTATGTAAGAAATTGTTAAACCGACCAGAGGCAGTTGAATAAACTATATTTTAATTAATGGGAATTTTAAATTAACAATTATTAATAAATCGTGAGAAGAGAATTATTAGATTTTGAGTGGAATGAAATTTGTTGGTGGAATCGGCCAAAACACAGATTATATTTATGGTTGTGAAAAGTCGAAATTTGAGGAGATATGTAAGTTCTCCAATTTTTCGCAGTTTAGCAAATATGAGTAAATGACACTCAATAACAATTAGGAGAAAAATATTTACTTACTAAGTCGGCGAGATTGTTGCTGAAATCGTTTTTAAAACAACAATGAAGGGAACACATAGTCGACAAATAAAAAACTGATGAGGTTCAGTTAGGACAGAATTATTGTATCATTAAATGGCAAATCATTTTGAAAGGTTTTTTTATATGAGAGTTCAAGTTATAAGAGTGTACTTTTGCAATAATTTGCCTTCTACCCAAAAAAATTAAAGGATATCTTCTAATAACAGTTAAGGCAATTAACTATGAATACTATATATATATATATATATATATATGATAATAATAATATCGTGTATCCATCAATAGTTTTGAGCGCTCAAACCTGTATTTTGTTCTGCGATGCGATGTTGCCATGCATAAAGTTTCCCTGAACTGCTGAATGCGTTTATCTATTATATAATTGATAATTTTTGTTCCAGGTTGCAAATCGTTTTTCAAACGGAGCGTTAGACGGAACCTGACGTACTCGTGTCGCGGGAGTAGGAACTGTCCGATTGATCAACATCATAGGAATCAGTGCCAATACTGCCGGTTAAAGAAATGCATGAAAATGGGGATGCGGAGGGAAGGTATGTACAAAACTACAGTCACCAAAAAGAGACCTGTCTCTTCGAGGTTCGTTACACCACATTTGTCAGAAGTCAGCCCAGTCACCACGTGACCGCTAGTTGGCTGGCGATTCTGGCTGTGTAGTAGATGTGGTCTACTTGCTATTGAATAAACTAAACATGGTGATAGATGGTGCTTTGCGGTGGCCTATTTCGATAGATCGTACCTCAGGGATAGAGAATAGTTGGGATGCTTTCGTTTGTTGTCTCAGAGACGAGAGATCATGTAGCCAAGAAGCACGAAACACCTGTCCATGGTTGGCTGTCTTTTGATCAGACGAAAGAAAGCATCATGTGGTATTACGAGTATTAAATATGGTTTAATCCACGAATCAATCCTAGTGACAATCACTTCTGTGTATGACGATATGTTTTAGGTTATGGTTATACTTTTTGTCAGAGTTTTCAATTTTTCCCAGATTGGAGCTCAGGATCCTCAGCAAGGTTATATCGATATTATCATTTTTAACGACGTCACATCAAGAAACCAACATTTAACACTTCTGATTCAACTGAAGCAGACACGTGTTTTGCATCAGAATGATCTGATATGGTATTAACAATCAATAGCAAACCAAGCGCCAACAAACCTAAAATAACCAACCTGTATTTTTGGAAACCAATTCATATAGCCCAAAAATACATTACCGTTGTATTGTTTGTTCACGTTTAGTTTTTTATGGCTTAATATATACAGTGTGAGGTCTTACTGAGTAGATATTTTTTGTGCAAGGATAGAGTAATTGCATGGGTTTCGGGTTATTGGGTGCACAGATTCGAGATATGAACGGCTTTCACATAATTTACCATAATTAGAAGCTCTTATTACCTAATCATGATGATATCCCCGGGTCATCTTTATCTTTATCTTTATTAACCGCTTAGATACAGAATAGTACATGTGGTGGCAAAAAAATAAATAGAATAAATAAGCTATATAAGTAAAATGTATAAAAATATAAGTAAAATCAATATAAATATAACAATTCATAGAAATGTTCAATTCCATCTTTAAGTAGTCAAGGTTGTGTGTAATTTTTTAACTTGGTTTTTAAATTGATTTGCTGTATTCCACCTGGTACTTTATTGTATAATGTGATTATAGTAGGATGATTTTTTGAAATGTGTCGAGGTATGTGTCTGGATGATCTTTAAATTTTGATTTCTAGTATTATAATTATGATGAGCATTAATATTTGGGAACAGGTTATTAAACTTCTTATCGTAAGTTACACATTTCAAGAATTTCAGAATCCAAGCTTTTTGAAACGGGATCGAAAATAGTTTGACATTCGTCGGCTCATTGTCACAATGCTCATAAATCACTATTTTATAAGAATAATTAGCCTTTCGATCACAATGGAATCTAGAACCACTCAATTCGGTTGGAATTATGATGACCTCTTTTGAAATAATTTGATATTTTTCCTTTTGAAGATATCATTTTTCACTGAGAGCATGACACTAGCGGACAAATGAAACAGGTCAACTGGTCAACCCCGAAGGCACCCAACAAAAAATTGTTTTGGACCCAACGTTTAATTAGCACTGGCATATGTGTTTCAGAACGCTCAACGATTCAAACCTTAAAGGATTATATTTCCCTTACCCTTTATGGGCCAGTCAATTTATTTAGGTTAGAGACTGGGAATAGCTGATATAAAAAAACGATTTCGAGACGTCTTCATCTGGGTTTATATGGGGCAAATCATTCGTTATTAAATGAGATTTTTGCATGTCTTGCTTAACAATGAACACTTTAGAATTCTCCAAGACTTGTAGTTCTCATAAAAAAGCTCAGAAATAAAATATATACAGGGTGTGCTTCTTTGAACCCCCTTCATCACCCATTTAAATAATGACTATAATAACGTTTACGCCCTGTATAATGTATACTAAGTGACATATAAATCCGAACACCCAGTTTAAATGGTTTTATTTTAATAAAAGTTGGTGAAATTTTCAGCCTTATCAGTTGGACATTCCGGTTTTCATACTGCTTTTTTTTAATTCACTAACGCTCTAAAAATGAATATTTCAGCCGCAGTAAAGAATCAAAGTTGGCGGATTTTAGTTCTTGACATCCTTTACAATCGGTTACGATGCCTAGAGTACGGAGACCTGTACGATTTCGTCAACTTAGTGAGTTTGATAGGGGCCGTATAGTGGGACTTCGGGAAGCTGGACTTTTTTTTCGGGCAATTGCAGTTAGAGTGCAAAGAAGTGTAGACACTATGGTTAGGTGTTGTCGTGCATGGCTTCGAGAAGGCCGTACGCAAAGAGCAAGGGGCACTGGTCGCCGCCGTAGAACAACAGACCGTGAAGATCGCCGCCTAAGATTATTGGCCTTAAGGGACCGTTTCTCCACTACCAGGTCCATTGCAAATGAATGGTTTGCAGAACACGGAAGACCTATTGGTATGCGAAGTGTTTACCGACGAATGAGAAGTTTTGGCTTGTTTTCATACCGGCCACACTGGGTCCTCCCTTTAACTCGAGAACACCGACGTAATCGCCTTGAGTGGTGCAGACAACGGTCACTCTGGGATCAGGAATGGAACAGTATTGTCTTTAGTGACGAGTCTCGATTTTGTTTAGGCATGCACGATGGTCGTGCCAGGGTTAGAAGGCGACGTGGTGAAAGGAGGAATCCACAGTTTTTTGTTCCAGGTCACCTTTAATCTTCATCAGAGGTAACATGAACGCGCAGCGTTATATCCACGAAGTTCTAGAACCCCATCTTTGTTACCATGGCCACCAAGATCTCCCGACTTATCCCCAATTGAGCACGTGTGGGATATGATGGGTAGGAGATTGATCAATTTGCAACGTCCTCCTCTGACTCTAGAAGCACTTCGAGAGGAGTTGGTGGTTGCCTGGAATGAGATACCACAGGAGGACATTGACCACCTGATCAGAAGCATGCCTAGGCGCGTTGGAGAATGCGTAGCACATCAGGGTGCATCCACACATTATTAAAGGTCAAAGGGCTTTAAAGCAGTGCAATCATTTTGAAATTTTTATCATTTACTTATTATGCTTCATTAAGTACTTATACAAAATTTTATTAAAATAAAACCATTTGAACTGGGTGTTCGGATTTATATGTCACTTAGTATATATAAACTAAGCAGCTGCAGAATTACAGCAATATGAAGTGCAATTCCACGCGACATTTTTCTACATTTTCTGTCATGCTGTTTGAAAATTGCAAAAGATACAGCAATAACTTTATCTGCGACGAATTAAGCACATTTTTCACATCTAGTTTTGAGGAATTACGATCTAGTTTAATCGTAGTTCATAGTGTACATTTGTGTAATTAGATGTTACGGACTAACAAAAATGGAAACTTAAAAACTTGTGTCTCTAACATTCAGGTGCGAAACTTTGTCATATAAAAACTTATATCGATTTATAAAAATATCAGACACTTTTACTTCCCGCGCCTACTGCACCTTGGAAACTACCGTTCCGATTTGGATAAAATTTCCACGCGAAGCTACTGTTATACCAAGGACGAAAAAGCGTTGTAGTTTTTGAAAATCGGTCCAGTGAAGGCGGAGAAAAAGGCACAAAACGAAAAAAATATAAATCGCACAAACTTCGTTTTTTAACGTTTCAGAGGCTTCTGATCATTTTTGGCAAGTTTTTGTAGGGGTTAAAACATGGCCCATCCCCTCAGGTTCCATTTGCCCTACCGTAAATACGCGTCTACAGTCAATCCCACAATATTTTGGAAACGTTTTTAGCGCGATATTGTTTAGGTTACTCCATATTTTTGATGGCTCTAATAACGGAAACACTTATGATCACGAGACCAAAAAACACGTCAAAATTACCGCTGGCCCTTTATAGTCAACGGTAAGACCCAAATGACCTGTCCTATATCCCCGTCCCTCATATTAAATGATCGCTAAACCTCGTACAATACGTTAGAGTCATATATTCAAATGTCAGGTAGCCTGTGCCAAGGCCCTACAAATAAAACTTGTTTCTTGTAGGGTGCCAGTACTATAGTACACCTTGCATATCTGGGGTTCACAAAACGTAGATGACCAGTGTCCAGTAAATATTATGTAAATCAGGATAAGGGATCCTCATTCAAATGTGTCGTATTCTTTCCTTTCCTTCTTTTTTTTTTTTCGTGGGAACTCGGCCCATGTGAATCCTAGCCCTTGGCCCTTGTCCCTGTCCGTGCGAATTTGCATTATTTTTCCTTCCGTTATTCAAATAACCTCATATTTACCCGCAAAATCAATTACCGAAACCCGGACGTCCACAATAGGGAACTGTTTACCTGATACCTATCGACGGTTATCTATGTCCACCGAGATTTTTGAATTTATAATCGGAATTTTGCCTGAAATGGATACTTTAGGGGAACGGACAATGGCCCCAATAACCTCTTTCCAATGCTTCCTCGCATTTCACACCATCGATCAACTATAGACTTAATTTTACTATTTTCCTAGAATCATGTAGGATGTTCAAATTTTTTTCACCGTTACGTACAATAAAATTGGTCATTTCAGGCCCGATTTCAGTATTGACCTGCGGGAATCAAAATTGGACCAAGAAGCAGAGGGTTTTTCACACGATCTTCTTTTTCATTGGTGCATTTTATGACCATGGTGGTTAATTTAATATCAGGACCCAAATGAAAAATATTTTTTGTAGCTAAACCTAGTGATTTATGACGTATTTCTTGGATGGTTTTCATCCGCCGGCGCGCATGACGTCACGCGGAGAGTGATTATCATTTGGGTTGATATGGATGACGTGCATATTTTCACCTACAGGCCAAACGGCTGGACGGATCTTCACATATGAGGTGTCGTTGGATTCGTCTTAGCGGTACTAGCTACATTGAAATTTTATACAAAACAAAATGGTGGATTTCAATAAAAGATTTCAACCCTCTAATTCCTATTTCACAGGCTATAGCTTAAACGGTTTCTAGCTGCACAATAGAGCGTATCGTCTCTTCACTGTAAAAACAAGATAACTCCATTTTTCTACATTACCTATATTTTAGTAT